GTGTCATTATACCATAAGACTAAAAGTTATACTTTGTGAAGAAAAAAAAAGGTGTTTTGGTTGGGGTTTAAAAAAGTCGTGGATAAAAACACTGGGTAGCTGGATACTTAAGAATTCTGAGGCTGAGTCTTAAAATGGTTTATACGTGTTGAAATTTGCATAGCCATAGACGTTTTGCGGATCGCTGTAATGAGTTAGGGTACCGTGCCTTGAATATAAGCGACCCCTGGGATTGATAGTCAATCTTAAGAGGCGGGGTAGTTGGCAGGGAAGGGGGGGGGTCGGGATGGGGAGTAAAAACATGAGGAGAGAAAGGAAAAGGATTAGGTGAGGGGATGGCAATTATTTATAAATAGAAAGCATGAACCTTGGGAATATTTCCTTGCTGGCAACCATCGGTCAGTTAGCCAGGAGTTCTGACAGAAAGATTGGGTGTGGTGAAAAAGGGGGGGGGGGGAGAGGGATAGGGTCATAGGGTCATGAAGTGATTCTTTTGAAACTGATATATTTTCATTTACTAAATAGTAGCTAATCTTTGCCTGTGTTTGAAAGCTTTAAATGACATTTCTTATAGCTATTCTAGCAGATCGGGCATATCCAATTCTATTTTTTAACCTCTAGCCTGTATGCTATCCATTGATGTCTTGTCCAGGTCGGTTGACCCCCGGGGGGGGGGGGGGGTGAGGTCTGTGATTGATTCCTGTATCACAGAGTCAGCCGATGAGTCAGGCTACGGGCCATGTCTAGATCTGGGCTAATTGCTACATAGCGACCAATGGCCAGCGACCTATGACCCGTGACGCATGAGATCATGTGATTCTCGGACTGGGATGAGCACAAATTGTAAACTCACGATTAGTGGATCAACATTTTGGACGTCTGTCATGAAAATAGTGGAATATATATATATATATATATATATATATATATATATATATATATATATATATATATATATATATATATATATATATATATATATATATATCACATTTCTGTGTGTGCGTGTCTGTGTGTGTACTACTTGGTACAATGGTACAATGTGAAGAGACAGAGCCCTAAAAGAACAACGAGGTGCCCGTATGTAGGTCAAGCAGCTCCTAATATAGCCCTGGCTAAACCCATCATTACGTCCGAGTGTCCACGGCCTGGGTAGGTCATAATAAATCAGTTGTAGGTTCCATTACGGTCGCCTCCAGCCAGTGACCACAACAAATGACTTCTGTCGTGTACGTACTGACAAAGTCGCCTCTCTGGAACCCACTGTTCCCGGGGTCTTAGCTCCGAGGAACCTATTGTTCCCCGACCCGGGTCGGCCCAACGGTGGGGATTTTGTGCTCAGTCCGGTACGCCATTAATCCTCCGGTAATCTGGTGGGTTTCCTTTCATCATCACCACAACGCGCTTTTTGCGCCTTTCCCGCCTCCGTATTTTTCTAATTCCGGTCAATGCTGTATATATTGTATACCAGGATGAGGGGAGAGCGTGGGCAATACTGGACGTGCTGGTCATCTAGAGGTCCAAATGTTAGGCTGCCTGGTTCTAGTCTGGAACTTTCCTGGCTAATGGACGTCCAGTGAGGGAGACGGTCAGTTCTCCGGGGAGGGGAGACTGACGTCACGCAACATTTGTGTTCGCCGGCCTTCTCTTGGTGTTTTCTCCTCTAACCCACTCACATAGGCCTTTCGTATGTTTTAGATTGTCTCTCTTCTCACATCGGCCTTTCCTATTGTTTAGAATCTGTCTCCTCCTGTCCTTTTACTTCGGCCTTTCTTATGTTTTAGCGTTTGTCTCTCTTCTCACATCGGCCTTTCTTAGAGTTTGCCTCCTCCTGTCCTCGGCCTTTGTAATGTTTAGAATATGTCCTTCTGTCCTCTTTCATCGGCCTTTCTCGTAAAATCTCACCTGTACTTCAATTTTCTCACAAACCAGCAAACCAAAAATAAACAAAAAATGAAACCAGTCTGGTATTTCAAACAAATCGCGATATTTAAATGTCAATAATATAAGCTCAAGACGAAATGCTAGTGAACTTTAAACTGAAATACCCCAGTAATTGATATCTGAAGATTAATAATATATAATAAGACTATACGGTAAACACAAATAATAGTAGATAATTGTAATAACCTGCTTGTCGCCCCTGAAGGCAATGATATTTTGCATGAAGAAATAAATATGTTTATTTTTGGGTACAGGGGGATGCGCTTATTAAAGAAATTATGATAGCAGCACTAAATGACATTGATGCTTGAGAAGGGGGGAAGGGAGGGTGGGGGCGAGGAGGAAGGGAGGGGTGTGGTGATACAAAACATCAAAGTTGTTTGGGATAATGGGATTATCCCATGCGTGTCTCCTCGCGTTTTTTTTTTTTACGAGTTATCGAATATCTCAGCAGACAAGTGTTAAAAGACGAGGCTGTCACGGGGGTGGGGGTGGGGTAGTAGGGTGGGGTGGGATTTGTCAGGTAATTACGTACACCAATCAACGAAGTGTTGACTGTAATTGTCATGACAAGTGTGAGAGGAGGGTGAACACAGATAAACTCTGACGGCTTAATGGAGTTTGTTTCGAGTTAATTTTTTCACTAATATGTTGTGTGATTGTGTGCGAAGATCGAGCTGTAAGCTGCAGTAGACGAAGAGAGAAATACAAATGTGCGAATCTAAAAAAATATTTACGCACCGTTTACTTTTCTTATCTAGCAAGAGGGTGATTAAAATAGATTGGATGTTCGCTAATAGGGAATTCCCGTTAACAATACGGCTACACCTTGCCACAAAAATGCTCACAGGAAGTTTTTTATCTTCCCTTCTGGGAGATTCAACCAATGACGTTAAACATTGAGGTCACGTGGGCAAACCGCCTACATAAGATTTAATTTTTAACATTAAAGGTTATGTAAAAAATCATTCGAATTATTTTTTTACCGTAACTTTAAAGTCCAACGGTTAACTTTACCAACTGTAATTAAAAATCAGAAAAGATAAAAAATTCTAAACCGAATATTAAAATGAATTTTAAAATATAATTAGAAAAAAAAAAGCTTCTGTCAGAGTTGTCGTTCGTTACCAAAGAGTACTGTAAAGAACACCAAATTAGACGCTTTTCTTTTTCCTATTGTTCGGCTATCGATTTCCCAGAGTCACTGAAGTCGTTTTAGGATGTAATATCAGGGGCTAAAAATAGCCCCGAGTTGATATTTTACGACACGATAATTACATTAATCGTGAACAAGAGTTCTAACGTTCAGGGTTTGAGTCCGGTGACATTGAGAAGTCGAGGATAAGAATGATGATTAAGGAGATAATCTTTCATCGTGTACTCTACGGTGGCTGTCGTTAGCCTTGAGCCAGGAGATTTGAAGTACATTTTTTAAAAGCGTTTTTAACATGGTTTAAAAACATGATGTTTGGGTCTAATTATTTCTTGTTATGTCGTTAATGGGGATTAAGGTGGGGTCTGTGTGGCGAGGCCGTCTGATGTGAGTCTAGCAGAAGTGTCTGATTATAAGTGTGGAGGCGGGTCTTAGAGCAGCAGGGGAGAGAACAATGTCAGAAGACAATTTTCTTGACTTACAAGAAGGCAACGTTGGAAATGTTAACGAGAATAACTTCAGCACCAAGCTTGAAGGAGAAGTTTAAAATATATTCCGTCACTTAATTTCAAATGTTGATTGTAAGATACATCATTCAACCACCCGCTCCCACTTCCACATGTTATGCATACCATCATCACCATAATACACCTAACGCAAGTAATCTATACAGATCTCTATGCTGATTAAGGCTTACGTTCGAAACGTCCATGGTTCTTTGTCTTTATTAATGATATTACCGACATAATCTACTTTATTAATTAATACATCTATATCTCACTCTTACCCCAACCCACACTCTTACCGCTACACTTCCCTCTAACCCCACCCCTAACCCCACCCACACCATCTCCCTCTAACCCCACCCCTAACTCCACCCACACCATCTCCCCTATACCCAGTCACCCCCAAAACCCTAAAGTAACATTACCCAACCACAATTCATCATTGTTTACTTTGGTTGCGCCAAACTAGCCAGACATTTCCATACCATTTCGATATTTCAACTCAAGGGCGAAAACTCTACATCATCGCCGTCTTTTTAAAACCACATTTTTCTTTTCAACAACACAACTCAGTAAAGCAGACTTGAGTTAGGGGGGTGGGGTGGGGAACCGCACCCAGTGGTAACCTCATTTGCATATGTCATATCCAAACATTAACAACTCGATTAATCACGCGCTAACAAGATGGCCGCCTCCAAATCCTGGCGCTGCCTGCTGTACCCCTGCAGTCCCGGGGACAATTCACGAGAAGTCCCCGGGACATTCAGAGCGATGTCCCGGACCGATATGCTCGTGAGCATAAATCAGACACAGGGGCCTGCCAATATATGCGCCCCAAGATGGCGGCCCGGCTCAAAGGCCCATAAAGTAGGCGCTGGGATAATTGACGCACACGCTATTAAAAGAAAGATTTACAAATCGTTTTTGACAGTTTCGCGAAACGAATGCGAATTTAAAAACTGGATTCTGGAAGAGGGGAGGGATGGTGGACAATGTATGGAGGAGAAATACAACATGGCGGATTTGTTTACAAGCGAGTTAGTAGCTTGACACGATATATTTAAACAGATTCTTAAATAGCAGCTTATGTGCATGATAATGGAGAGTAGATATTGTCTGCTGTTTGTTGACGTTTTTATTTAATTATCGTGATGCGTATTGATTACAATTAAAATGAGCTAACCAAGAACCTATCAATACGTTTTGAACAAATTTCGTAGAAGAGAACTTTACTTTCGACTTGTATGTCATAGTTATATTCACCCGTTTATGCTGTGATATATGCATGAGTTAATATGCTTATGTTGTGATGTGTACACGGGTTGACACCCTAATGTTGTGATGTGTACAAATACTTTAGGTTTTATATCTTAAGTTGTTCCTTTTGTCTGTTTCAGAGCGAACTCTCCCAGAACTTACAGGCTCTGTCTGAGAAAGCTAAATCAGGGACAGAGTTTATACAGAGGTTAAAAAAGATGGCGGACAGTGTTAGTGTAAGTAGACATTTTTTTTTTAAAGACAGAACTTAGCTATACTTAATTGTGTGATTAAATGCATCGAGGGGTGTATATATTTGTGTAGGTGTGTGGGTAGGCGTGTGTTCGTGTGTAGATTAGCGTAGGTGTGTGGGTAGGCGTTGTGTTCGTGTGTAGATTAGCGTAGGTGTGTGGGTAGAATTTCGTGTAGACTAGAATGGGTGTGCGTGTATCGACTAGTGTGTGTAGACTTGTGTGGGTGTGTAGACTAGTGTGTGTGCGTGCGTGTGCAGGCTTGTGTCAGTAGATCTACACAGCACTACCACCTCAGTCACATGACTTTATGTGTGTGTACCCGCCTCAGTCACATGACTGTAGATGTGTGTTGGTGTGTGTGTACCCCAGTAGATCTACACAGCACTACCGCCTCAATCACATGACTGTAGGTGAGCGGCGACAACAACCATCAACACCCATCACAAGCCCAGGTGTAAAATCTCTTTTGATGTCCCCTCATTTATTTTTTATCTGGCATAAAAGTTTTAAAACGAGTAAATTGAAACACCTTCCCCCCCCCCCCTCATTTCTCGACCCCCATCCCCAGTACATACGTAGGTCTGGTTTATTTGAGAGAAAATAGAAATTCTTAGAATCAAAGTGTGTGAACGAAAACCTCATCTACCGCCTACCTTTCTGCTCCGTATCTTCCATCTACGCTAGAACCATTTCAAACACACTTTAATTTCTGCTGGGAGCCACAGGAAAGTTCATTGAATTTATCTCTGATAAACTGCCTTCATCATTATTTTGTACGTGGATCTAAGATATTAAAAAAAAAACACGACCTAGTTATTATTTTCTTTAGATAACATTTTTATTATAGTAATTATCAGTTTTTCCTGTTAAAATTTACACCGATGTTGACAGTAAATGTTTCATATTTCTAATTTTTAATACGTTTTTTGACAAGATTCGATGTAAAAGTTTCTTTGATGGACTTTTGACAAGATTAAATTGAAAAATTATTGGGTAAACTTTTGTCAAGACTGACTGTAAGTTTCTTGATAGACATTTTATCAAAATTCGATGTAAAAGTTTCCTTGTTGAACTTGAGACAAGGTTAAATAGAAAACTTATTGGGTAGACTTTTGTAAAAATTCGATGTAAACGTTTCTTTGATGGACTTTTGAAAAGATTAACTAGAAAACTTATTGGGTAGACTTTTGTCAAGATTCGATGTAAAAGTTTCTTGATAGACATTTTGTCTAGATTGACGGTAAAAGTTACTTTGATAGACTTTTGTCGCCTTGAGAGTGGAGCATGGCACGATCAATATTACGTAGTCCCCTCTCTGATCCAGTCGGCCTGTCCAATTTAATCTCCATTCTGGGGGGTGGGGGGGGGATAAAAATAAAAATACACCGAAATAACCGAACTCTGGAAGCGGATATTTTAAGGAACATTTTGTTTCAAAATAGGGACTGGACTTTTTTTTTTAGCGATTTAAGTTTCATTTCAATGACAGTGTTGAGTTTGAAATTTGATAATAAAAATGGTAACTTCAATTAAGTTTAAAAAAAAAATGCCTGGCTTCGATCAGATGTTGGTCTGATTACAAGACAGCCAAAATAATATAGCATCAAAGTTTGGCTAAAGAGACAACAAAAAATAAAAGAGTAGCTGAAAAAGTAGAACAAAAGATAATACTTTAAAACAGCGCTCGTTTTTTTTAACGGGAAATATTACTAGTATTGAAATATTAGTAAAGATAAACGACAAACAAGCATCCTCTTTCATCCAGAGAATAAAATTACTGATGAATTGGAAAGCGAGCAGGTAACTGTGTAAACAGAAGCCCTTCATCAGTTCTAAAGCCATAGATGGTGGTGTTATATTTAGACCAAGATAACTCGAAACTGTCCGAGTTTAAAAAATATATCGACGAGTCTATTATTTGTTTCAGTGATTACTTGTTTTAGGATATCATAAGCATGACATCTGTCGGCATAGTTATTGTGGATGCCTCCCCTACCCCCTCCACAGTCAACTGTACCTAGTTAATGATTCTTGTGCTGCCCCCCCCCCCCTAACCCCCTACAGGGCAACTGTACTTAGTTAATAATTCTTGTTCTCCCCCCCCCCCTACAGGGCAACTGTACTTAGTTAATAATTCTTGTTCTCTCCCCCCCCCCTACAGGGCAACTGTACTTAGTTAATAATTCTTGTTCTCTCCCCCCCCCCCCCCCCCTACAGGGCAACTGTGCCGAGTTTGAGAAGACGGTGGTCGCCCAGTGTGACGCCCTGATTGAGGTCATCAAACAACGGAAAGCTGAACTCCTGGAGAACGTGGCCGAGGAGAAAGCGCTCAAGGTTCGAACCCTGAAGGAGCAGGTCTCAGACTGCACATCCCTCCTGCAGAGAACCACCGGCCTCCTGCAGTTCTGTATAGAGGTTCTCAAAGAGAGCGACGCCTCCTCTTTCTTGCAGGTAACTCGACTTTTATTTTACCTTACCTCCTCCTTCATTAGATAATTCGACATTTCTCCCCCCCCCCCCCTTTTTCAAGTTATTTCTTTCATTGGTCTTGTATGGTTAGCCAGGGGCGGAGTCACCGTGTGCCCCCGGCAGAACCTCAACCATGGCCGTCGACACAATAATATCACGAGGGATATTTATACTTGCCCCAGTCAGAACCTCATGGCCGTCGACACTATTATCACGAGGGATATTTATACTTGCTTATAGCCATAAGACATTTCAGGGGCCCATAAAATTGGACTGGCCGTTATCTATCACTGTACTAAGTCGTAGAGACTCCAGAGATTGATACTAAATATCTACAGGCATAAAAAACTATCTGGTCTCAGGCATAAAATAAACTATATTTATAGGATAGCAATGTGTAGAAGTTACACCATCATTGTTTTTGTGACAGAAGCCAAGAAAAACATACAACTAGTTATTTTAGAGGATAATCATTTGGTAGAAATACATTTTAAAGCATGCAATTTTACTTTAAAAAAAAATCAAAATAGAGAGAAGTAAAATTATAAAAAATAGAGATCGGTGAGTGACTGGTGTATGCACATGTGTTTATTTACTTGTATGTGTGTGTATGTTTGTGTATGTGTGTATGCGCGTGTGTATATGTGTGTATGCGAGTTGTTAAGGTAGATTTAGTTTATTGATCGGGCCTAAAGCTGAGGAAAGACTGAGGCTTGCACACCGGGCTTCTACAAGACGCGAGTCATCAAAAAGGTTCTACATTCTCAAGTCTAGCCGTCAATCTTCTAGAATCCCTTGTTAGCACTGGAGATGTAGCACTGGCACTGCTGGCACTTGGGGGAGGGGGGGGGGGGAGGTTGGCTTCAGGGGGTGGATTGAAAATGGTTGAGAAGTGAATGGAAAGGGGGGGGGGGTGTGACGGTTAACCGAAAAAAAAAAGAGGAAATAAAAAAAAAGTTTAGAATTTTAAAAGGTTCCTTAAACTAAATGAATATTTTTTGTGTGCTTCCTACGTCTTTGGTTGGTGAATGTATTTTTTGGGCTCTAGCGGGTTCGTGTGTTATTTAAGAAAAAAGTTTTTGGCATTTCCATTTTGGTTATCCTTGTTGGTGTTTCGATGTTACTGAAGTCAAATTTTTATAAAGTCAAGTTATTACATTTTGACTTCGGCATTTCCATTTTGGTTATCGTTGTTATTGTTTAGATGTTACTGAAGTCAAATTTCAAAAAGTCAAGTTATTACATTTTGACTTCGGCATTTCCATTTTGGTTATCGTTGTTATTGTTTAGATGTTACTGAAGTCAAATTTCAAAAAGTCAAGTTATTACATTTTGACTTCGGCATTTCCATTTTGGTTATCGTTGTTAGTGTTTAGATGTTACTGAAGTCAAATTTCAAAAAGTCAAGTTATTACATTTTGACTTCGGCATTACCATTTTGGAAATCGTTGTTGGTATTTAGATGTTACTGAAGTCAAATTTTTATAAAGTCAAGTTATTACATTTTGACTTCGGCATTTCCATTTTGGTTATCGTTGTTATTGTTTAGATGTTACTGAAGTCAAATTTCAAAAAGTCAAGTTATTACATTTTGACTTCGGCATTTCCATTTTGGTTATCGTTGTTAGTGTTTAGATGTTACTGAAGTCAAATTTCAAAAAGTCAAGTTATTACATTTTGACTTCGGCATTACCATTTTGGAAATCGTTGTTGGTATTTAGATGTTACTGAAGTCAAATTTTTATAAAGTCAAGTTATTACATTTTGACTTTGGCATTTCCATTTTGGTTATCGTTGTTAGTGTTTAGATATTACTGAAGTCAAATTTTTATAAAGTCAAGTTATTACGTTTTGACTTGAATGATGGCGAGAGTGTGTTGTGTTTGGTTAGAGATGGCCATGTCTTTAAACTGGCCACATATGGCCTAGTGTGGCCATCCATGGCCATGTCCCCTGGCCGTGTATCAGGCCCACACAGTCACGCCCTGAGTCTGTCCAACCGACCTCTACCCCCGGGGTGGTCGAATTAAAATGTTTCTTAAAGTTAAAAAAAAAACCTCTATGACCGTGTTGAAATGTCTTCAGGCCGTCTTCACGATCTTACGAGTGACGGGACTATGGGACAGCTTCACTGCACACGATCCCGAATCTCGGTTCTATCCCCCACTCCCCCTACAACTCCCTCCTCAGTGCAGCCTGCAGTAACAACCCCCCCCCCCCACATCCAAATATCTGTAGAGCAAATCTCAGTCTCAGGTTAGCGTGTAAACTGCCAGGCAACACAAATGATTTTTATCTTCACCAGACGCCACCCTACGGCTGTAGTAGCTTCTGATCTTTTACACCCCATCCTTTACACCCCATCCTTTACACCCCATACTTTACATCCCATCCTTTACACCCCATCCTTTACATCCCATACTTTACACCCCATCCTTTACATCCCATCTTTACACCCCATCCTTTACACCCCATCCTTTACACCCCATCCTTTACATCCCATCTTTTACACCCCATCCTTTACACCCCATACTTTACATCCCATCCTTTACACCCCATCCTTTACATCCCATCCTTTACATCCCATCCTTTACATCCCATCTTTTACACCCCATCCTTTACACCCCATCCTTTACACCCCATCCTTTACACCCCATCCTTTACATCCCATCTTTTACACCCCATCCTTTACACCCCATCCTTTACATCCCATCCTTTACACCCCATCCTTTACATCCCATCCTTTACACCCCATCCTTTACACCCCATCCTTTACATCCCATCTTTTACACCCCATCCTTTACACCCCATCCTTTACACCCCATCCTTTACACCCCATCCTTTACACCCCATACTTTACATCCCATCCTTTACACCCCATCCTTTACATCCCATCCTTTACACCCCATCCTTTACACCCCATCCTTTACACCCCATACTTTACATCCCATCCTTTACACCCCATCCTTTACACCCCATCCTTTACACCCCATCCTTTACACCCCATCCTTTACACCCCATACTTTACATCCCATCCTTTACATCCCACCTGATCACTTACATCCCATCCTTTACACCCCTTCCTTTATACCCCATCATTAACACCCCATCCTTTATACCCCATTCTTTACACCCCATCTGATCCTTTACATCCATTCTTTACACTCCAATTAATCTTCTACAACATAAATGATCATTTACACCCCAGATGGTCATCTTTTATGATAAATAAGTGAACGTTTATGTGACAGAATTGAAAAGTAGATATTACACACAAACAGAAGTAGATATTAAAACAATATGAAATTGCACACACAAGAGTAGATAAAAAGGATTAAAATATCATATATCAATGTAATTATATCAATCCCCGACCAATAATTGAGTTTAAAAACGACGACACAGTTTGGGAACCGTTACTACGGGGTGTAAACCATTTCCCTACCCACTCCTCTTCTCTCATCAGGGATAATTTTTTCCCTCTTTTCTCTCAATAATCCCCCTGCCATCCCCCTCCCCCTTACTTCTAGCCCGGTTGTGTTTTTTTTTCTCGTTTTGTTCGCAAGTAAAAAAAAAAATCTAGAACCGGTTCGATATTTTTTTTCCCCTTAGGTTTGTAATCATGGCTTTCCTCGAATCTTCAGTGGGAGAGAGCTGATGGTGTGGAATGGCTGTTTTGTGGTTAATAATGAAACGAGAAATGTACTGTACTGTAGCTAGGAACTTCAATGGATGAGAGAGGGAGAGAAAGAGAGAGGGGGGAAGGGGGGGGGGGAGAGGGAGAGAGAGAGAAAGAGAGAGAAAAAAAGCTGATTTTTAAAATAGTTGAATTCCCACGTAAACCAAATGAGGTTTTCCAAAAAGTTGTTTTTTTTTATGCCAGACTGCGGAGTAGGTTTAGGCTTAAAGGGAGATAAGTCAGACAAGGGAAACAAATGTAGGCTAAACCAGATATTCAAATCTATCGGACACAAAAGCATCTTTGATATGATATTCGTGTTTACCTGTTATGAAACTGGGGTTAGGGAATATGTGGTTTGTTTTGACTCCCATTATCTAATGTTCGTCGCGAATGTTCTCTAGTTTTTCCAGTCTCTGTACATCCAAGTGTAGATACGACTTCCAACAAGAGTTTTTAATTGATTCAAGATAGTTTAATACATGTTTGAAATTTTACATTTTATATATACATATATATATATATATATATATATATATATATATATATATATATATATATATATATATATATATATATATATATATATATATAATATATATATATATATATATATATATATATATATATATATATATATATATATATATATATACATATATATATATATATATATATATATATATATATATATATAACGGCCTAAATACAGAAGTTACCGAAATGCATATTTGCTTGTCCTTTAATCTCTGGTCCAGTAATTGGTGAAAGCGCAATCAGCAAGTTGCCGTAAAACAAATAATCGATTATCGATTGGACTCGAGCGTAGAATGGTCCATGCAATGCTGCCCTGTGGTTTGATTTTATCTGCTCAGTACATGGGCATGGCAGGGCACATTTCAACACAGAATCAATAGTTCATTATTAGACCAGACCGATAGGACATTGTAACACGTAATCGATAGGTCATTACTATTACTAGACGAGATCGTTAGGTCATGGTAATATGAAATCAACAGGTCATTACAAGACTAAACTAAAAGGTCATTTCTAAACTAAACCAATAGGTTATTACTAGACCAAATCAATAGGTCATCACAAGACAAAAACTAATAAGTCATTATCCCATAACACTAACCCTAACATCACTGTCTCCATTAATTCAGCACTAAGCATTTATAACCGCCTCCATTAACTCCACATTAAGGCACTACAACATCCCCCCCCTCTTGACACAACAATCAGCCATTACCTCCCTCCCCAACACAACACAACACCAGGCCATTAAAGTAAAAACAAAGCC